CCCCAAAACCCCAAAACCCCAAAACCCCAAAACCCCAATATTTTTCAAAAGTATTGAATATTAATAAGAAATAAAAATGTCTTCAAACCAACAATTCGATTCAAATTCCCCCTACAAAACAGCTAGTGGCGTGTATAGCCCTCAATCTCACTTATAGCCTACCAAGTACCCTCGTGTCTCGGAACAAATCAAGATTCTCCACTTCTTCCCAGCCAAAGTAAGCTCCTTCCCCCAAACTTCCTTCAGCATCAGAGGTCCCACTACAAAATCTACTAATAACCTCAAGCTTGCACATAAACTGAACAAGCATTTCTCAAAATAACCAAAGAACCAGGGACCAGAAGGGAAAATTTGCCAGAGCTAGGGGCAGCTTAAATGGTAAATGGGTGCAAATTGGTCTTGGAAATGCAAGCAAAGAAGAGATTGGCAACAACACCTCAATGGGGTAGGCCTGAGAATATTGAATACTTTCTAGGAAGAGATCAAAACAAAATATTAATTTAAAAAATAAAAATTTCAAGCTACTTCAGAAAATGAGCCAGATGAAAGGTACGCTTAAGCAGCTTGAAAGTTATGGGAATATATCCATTTATCGTTAAATTTTTGAAATTTTAGAAAAGAAAATTTAGAGAATTTGATGTAATTTTTATAATATTTTCTGTAATGATAGCAAAATCAAATCTTTATAAATTATTATCAAATTTTGCTGAAATTTAATTTATCTTTAGGAAACTCATCAGTAGATGACATTAATCAAGATAATCCGACGAATAAGTTCATCGATTACACCAATGGACATAATCTATCAGAATATAGAAATGTACTTGATCACAGACAGATTGGCAATGGGCAAGTCCAATGGATAATGAGACTTCGAGAGAATTTCCAAGGTTTTGGCAACCAAGAAGATAGTAACAAAAGTAGAAGTGAATCTACATCAAAACTATCCAGCTATGCTCATCCTCCATCATGCTATTTCAAAGGTAATATTTTGTTAAATAAATCAAGATCTTAAATTAAAATAGAAAAACAAAGAAACAAGAAGACAATTTCAGACGTGAAATACGTTGGAAATACCTTGGACATAATGCATGGTCTAAAATGTGCAAAGGGAGGTTACAAAGAACTTGAGCATCTTGTGAACATAAGGTCATCCTCAACAGATACTATCTCAAGGAGTACTGCAAAATCGTTGTCAAAGAGTAGATACAATCACAAATAGAAACTTCCAGATCTTGCCGATTTGAAAGAACAGCAAGGATTATTCTTTTTACCTCCCTCATGACAAGAAGAGTATTCTATTAAGGAAGTCTATCAAAGTTAAGGTCAGGAATGACCCTTATGATCTGCCAAAATACACTTCGAAGTTGAAGGACAAGAATGTGAATAACTCTAGACATCTGATGCACTCTTGTCAGCATATGTCTTCTCTAAAATGGGAAGCTGGTCTAAGAGATTACTAATTTTCAATTTTCTTCTCTTCCTAAGGGGTTTTGGGGTTTTGGGGTTTTGGGG